GCTGTAATCCAATCAAAAATTCAGAACTTTTTTTAATAGTACAAAATCTTGCGCGCCTAATATATCACATAATTTCAACTATTGGATAAGTTGGATAAGAAGAATAGAAAACCATATTGTCTTCAATGTGAAAGAATAAATATGACCTTATTGTCTATCCTTATAAAGAAATCGATTTAAACTAATAAAAGATGCTTTATGCTACATTTAGGAGATTATTTCATTCAATTCAAGATAAATCAGATTCAGTCTTCTAGATAATGTTAGATAATTAAAATCAATCAAATATTACTGTTAAAGATATTATTGATCTTATTTTTATAAGTATAAACAGATAAACTAATTATACTAGTATGAATAATTTTGTGTAACATGTTTTACTTATAGATAAAATTAAAACTACTTTTGTATAGTTTCAAAAATTAATTAATTTGCAAATATGATAGACATAAGTTTATTAATTTTATAACCATTTAATATATGTCTATAAAAATTGGTTTAAATTTCGATTTTACTAAATAAAATATTTGGTAACTAAAACCATTTCTTTTAAGAAGAATTTTTATTTGATCACTTGTTTTTATAAGTTTTCGTTGTTGTACTCGTAGAATGAATAGTTCAATTTTTTTTCATCTTAAAGAAATGAAAAAAAAATCCTTATCATCATTTTTTAAAAATAATCTAGTTAGAAATTAAAAATATCCTCAATACAAAGTGAATTTAATTATAAATAATTATATGTTTCAATGAAATACAATTGAAAGAAAACATTACAGTAAACCCTTTAACTTTAGCCATGCATGCAGTTGATGCTCAATTTCACTCTAGTTTTTATAGTGAAATAAACCACAATCACAATTTCAGATAATAGCCCAAAGAAAGGGAATAAAATAAAATAAATTAAAATAAATTAAAATAAAATTAAATTAAATAAAATTAAATAAAATGAAACAAAATTAAATAAAATTAAAATAAAATAATATACAATTTCTGTATAAATATTTTCAATGTTCTAAACAAAATTTAAATGTGTTTTTCATATTACTAGTTTATATTACTCAATAGGTTGATTATAATTAAATTTCTTCGAAATTAACACGATTCGGTGATAAGATAACCGAAATAGACTATACCATTTTGTGAACTCAACATAGTTATACTGAGCTATTTCCCATGAATGGTCTTAATAAGTCTATAGGTAACGGAAAAATAATTGTAGAATTCTTTTCTGCAGATATGCTTGTTAATGTTTGTAAATATCGAAGCTGTAAAAAATTAAAGATTATTATCGCAATAGATTGAAAAATCGTTTTTTTTACCTGCAAAGCTGCCGGACTCGCTGATATAATATCTGAAGCTTCCTTTAAGGCCTGTGAAGATTTCATTTCACCCTCTGCAGCAATGACCTTAGCTCTAGCATCTCTAGCTGCTTCAGCTTCTGCAGCCATTGCACGTTGCATGGATTTTGGTAGTGAAACGTCTTTGCTGTAAAATCAATAGCAAAATTAATAATTGAGATAAATGAGATAATATCAGACTAACATTTCGACACGTTCCACCTTAACACCCCATGGATATGTTGCTTCATCTAATGATATTTGCATTGTATGAGATATGCCTTCACGTTCTTTTAATAATTCGGAAAGATCACATGTACCAAGAACATTGCGAAGTGTTGTAGCAGCTAATAAACGCGTAGATTCGCTAGCGTTGGATACTTGTATAATACATTTAAGTGGTTCACTTATGCGATAATATATTACAGCATCCACTGTTACTGTTACCGAATCTCTGGTTAGTATCTCCTGTGGAGGAACATTAAACGAAACCGTGCGTAAGTCAACCTTAGAGTATTTATCAATGCATGGTAATACGAAAAAAACGCCTGGACCACGTGCACCACCACTTCGCAAGCGACCCATTCGGAATATAACGGCCCGTTCGTATTCTGTTACCATCTTAAAACATATGAAGACCGAAACGGGAAACGTGAGGATCATTAGAATTATTGACAACGTCGTTGCAAAAATTTCAAAACATCCCATGCTCTTATGTTCCGCTAAAGTGTGTGTGTATTTAAGATAAAATTATTGTTAAATTAGTTTCATGGTGATTCATAATAGTATTTCAACAATGAATCTAAAAATTAAATAAATTTATACCATATGTATGTATGTGTATTCATTTGAGTTGTATTTAGTGCATTAAATAAATTACATGAACGCAGTGATTAACACTCAGAAGCACATACATATGTATGTACATATAATGAGTTCTCATTGAGCTTTTCTAAATGGAATTTGAATTTACAAATAATACTAAAAAGTTTATATACTTCTTGTTTATATACAAAATATTATTCCATTTGGAACTATTTAAAGAACCATGTGTAACGATCCATTGCAAATTATAGTTCTATAATAAATAATAATGTGCGGACTTTATTTAATATTTTTTAATGATATGCAATATACATACGTATATATTAAACATATACATACAATTATTTGTACTTACATGTTTCTAAACCTTGGTATGGATTTTGTCTTCTTGGTGGGCCGGGAATCCGAATTTCTCTGTTGTCCAACGAGTGATTTGATTCCGTTATAGTTTCCATAATATACGCAGTTTGCACTGCCGTTGTAGATGGATTCATATCTATCTTTGTTTAATAACAATACAAAAATTCCTAAAAAATATTTACTTCAGAGCGTAATGCCGAGCTTTCAATAACTAACTGATCGTAGCTGCTTTTTATCACTATAAAATGTTTTAAATAATTGGAGACATTACTTTTGTAGCAAATCCCTATATCAGTATACACTGTACATATTTATTTTAAATGAATGATTGTTTTTTTATAAAATATTCGTACGAGGGTTGCTTGCAAGGTTTTAAATATTTGCATTATGAGCTATATTCAATTAATAACTAATAAAAAATAAGGTTAACTTGAGTTTTGGTAAGGCTTTATAATTTTTTACATAATAAAATATATCAACTTCCTAAAAGGTAAATGAATTTTATTAAATGTGTTGGATGTAAACGGAGGATAATCCATTGTTATATTCAACAACACTGCGACAAAAAGTGGTATTTTTTTGAGTTTTCAACGATTTTTCAGTACTTTTTGGCTGTCGAGCTCAAGTCTACAATCTATTTTTCTACTAGACATTCTGTTGAAAATATTAGGTTTTAAAGAATATAATAAAAATTTACATATAAAGTAATATGAATTTTGTCTTCTGCAGATTTACTAATTAAAAATAGTTAAAATTGCTGCGTTAGATATCTTTTTCGAATATCTCCCCCTTCCATTTTATAAGGATGGATATTTTAAATATTTCTTGAAAAATAAGTTTAAGAAACATTTAAAAAACTAGTCCTTTTGTGGAAGAAATAGAGGAATTGATGGAAATGTAAAAATATAAACTTATTAATTCGTAAAAAGTTTGCTGAAAAAATCTCCATTTTTACTAGAGACTCAAATGTGCAAGAGAAAAATGAAGTTCAGATTTAAGTTGAAGCATTTTCAAATTAATCAAAAATTGTTGCAGTGTAATTATTGACGAATGTACGTGTATTTGACGGGTTCCATTGTTTTAAAATCGGCGAAGTATATGGACCTGTTGTGATATCGTTGACAAATCAACAATTTTTTTTATTAAAATAAAAATTTAATGTGTTAATAATTTTAGCTAAAAAAGAACATTAATAAATAGGTTTAGTTTGATAAAACCGAGATTGACAACAAAGTAGAACTTGGTAGAATTGTATTATATACCATGAGCTACCAGCAAAGATCTGGCCAAGCAATTGTTTGGCTGAACACTCCTGAAACTAAACAAGAAATAAAAAATATTTAATGGGTTTATGTTAAAATAATTCAAATTAAGAAATATTGTCTGAAAGTCTTGGAGCAGATCCGATTATCAGATTTGTTTCGATATTATTACAAACTAGTTTTCGAACTGTAGCTGGTGTGGATATCACCAGCAGTAACTTTCAGTCTGTGACTTATAGACATACTTATGCCTGTGATTAAAAGTTGTCTAAGGTCGTGTGCGAGTTAAAATCCCAAAAAATCTCCCATTTGGTTTAGCATCAACTTAGCCTAACTCGCACACGTCCTAAATTCAATTAAAATTTAAAGTATATCTGCAAATAGCGTGACTCTTAACAGATCATATTTATAAGATATTGTAAATTTTTTCTATGTGTTACTCCAAACCTAACAATTGCATATTGAGTTTTCGTTTTATAAAACAGTAGACTCTGGTCATAAAAGGACAGTAATGTACTGCCTAAAATATTTTCTTTCTTACTTAGATAGTTCACATCTAACATTATCTTCATAATTTTGTATTCAGCAAAGATATTTCTAAAGGAAATAACATTGTCGTTGTAGGATTTGGAATAAGTGGTAATCAGTTTTAAGGTCAATAATTATAATAATAACTAATGCAATATATTTACAAAATATTTTCTTTATTTTTTATTTTATAAGTTACTAAGTATAATAGTATAAAGTACAAGTAATAAAAACAATAGAAATTAATATCTGAAAAGAAGTTCCCTTTTAGTTACGCCCCAAAAGGTGATGTAATTGAAGCTTAAGGCGGTTCTTTTACTGTCAAGCATCCTCATCTATCAAGCTTCGTAAGTAATCGATATACTAACTGACTCACATATCAATGCAACTGTCAAACATTTTTTTAAAGTTTTTATGCTCTGCGGACCATCCTCATAAACGATCACGAACTTTATTTACTACAAATAATTTTCAAGCATCCATGCACGATATGTCACTCATAGCATCATGCACACAGTATGCAGACATATATACAATATGCATATATGCATTTTTTACTAATCTACACAAAATTCTGTATGATGCTTTATCGAATAAGATCCACTTAAGACTTCTTATAAATTAAAAAATAATAATAATATAACATAGTAGTTCTAATAATAGAATTATATATGTACTAGTTCCAAGTATATGACTAATTCTGTTCAAAAGGAATTTCGTATAGTTTTAGAGCATTTAAATACTCTTGTAGTGGTAATCGTCATTGGTGTTGCTTCTGATGTCGGCAGGCGCAGTGTGAATTGTTTGCAAGGAAAGGTGTTAGTAATTCCATGGGCAGGGGAAATATAATTGTAGAATTTTTTTCTGCAGATATGCTATTTAAAGTTTGTAGATAGCGTAACTGAAATAATAAAAGATATTAATGTTAAATTAATTTGATACTTATTTTAGAGTAAGTTAATAGTACCTGTAGAGCAGAGGGGCTAGCTGATATAATTTCAGAAGCTTCCTTTAAAGCTCGCGATGATTTCATCTCCCCTTCTGCAGCGATAACTTTTGCTCTTGCCTCTCTGGCTGCTTCGGCTTCAGCAGCCATTGCACGTTGCAAAGCGGTTGGTAATGAGACATCCTTACTAATAATATGAAATATGATAATATACACATATGTTATATACATTTATAGATGCTTATATATGTTATTTAATATAGCATTTATTAAATATATTTATTGTGATATATTAAGTATTATTCTTAAATATTATAAATGATAATAATATATTTAAATGAATGCATTCGCAATACGTTGTGCTGGTGTTCCAGTTTATGTGAATAGTTTATTTGGTAGTACTCTATTTTTTCAATAATCAAATGGCAATAATAAATCAATATTTAATAAATAAATATTTAAAGTTCGGCAAAATTTAATATATTTAACATTTGATTGTTTAACTTAAAACTTATTTCAAAAAGGCAATGTTTCTTTTATTTTCCCTGATACCAACGGTTTCTATCCTTAACATAAAATCTGACTTTCTCGTCCAATAATTTTTCGAAACAACAAAAATATATAAAAATAATCATAAATAATAATAAATTCATAAATAATAAAAGATTTAAAAAGTAATGAAAAAACAATAAAAAAAAATTGATTAATTTATTGAAATTTGGCTGACCATACAACGCTGTGTCGAGTATGGCCAAGTACTCATCATGGTAAGACGTTCATAAGAGGCGTCACATTGGACAAAAAAATCAACCTTAATTATTATTTATATATATGCATATTTATAAATTTAAACAAAAATTATTAAAAAAAAGATTGAATTTTACTTACATTTCCACGCGTTCTACTTTTACACCCCATGGATCAGTTGCTTCATCTAACGATACTTGCATTGTATGTGAAATAGTCTCACGCTCTGTCAGCAGCTCAGAAAGATTGCGTGTACCTAAAACATTACGTAGAGTAGTTGCTGCCAACAAACGAGTCGAATGACTATAATTGGAGACTTGTATGACAGCTTTAAGGGGATCACTTATGCGATAATAAACGACGGCATCTACAGTAACTGTTACTGAATCCTTTGAAAGTACTTCTTGTGGTGGTACATCAAATGAAACTGTGCGCAAATCGACTTTACAGTAATCATCAACACAGGGCAATACAAAAAAAACACCCGGTCCACGGGCACCTCCGCTACGTAAGCGACCCATGCGAAATATAACAGCCCGTTCATACTCTGAAACTACCTTGAAGCATATAAACACCGATATGGGAAAAGTTAATACCATGAGTATAACAGAGATCGCAGTTGCAAGTAGTTCCACGCAACCCATATTTTCATTCTCCGCTAGAATGTGAAAAAAATTTTAATTATTTAAAAATAAACAATTTAGGAACTGCTAGCAAATAAATGCTGTACATATTTTTAATAAATTTTATTAAATTTGCTGCGCATGTATTTACAAGTATGTTTATGTTTTTCAAATAAACAGAAGTGAGGCATAAATTTTATTTAATATCCAAAATTTAAACAAATGTATTTTTTTTAACTTAAAATGTTACAGAAATTGAATCATTTTGAATTTAGACGCTAATATACAAATATAATATGTATTTGATATATTTTGAGAAAAGGGGTATTGGGATCCAGAACATATTTCATTTTGTGTATAAATAATGTGTACTCGTACTTGTTTATTTTTTGTATTTATAAATTAATAATAATAAATTATTCAACTAATTGTAAATTCATCTCTTTAAAAGAATAAATTAAATTAGCATGTATATTAGTATGTACTTAAAGAAACACAAATCGCACTAATAAATCTATATTTAGTGAATATTGTATAGAATATATATGTGTACTCGTATTGGGCGTCATATATAGAAAATATGTATATAAAATTAAAAGTTATAACCATAACATTAATCACAAAAAATATGAAATATATTTTATAAAATATTCTATATTCTATAATTATTATAAGATATATTCCATATCAGATTTGGTAAAATTTAGTCACCTTCCATTAAATTCAGAACCATAATATTTTTATAGAATTAAAATAAGAACTTATACCACATACTGTAAGATGGTCAATTCCATAACAGATTTGGTAAAATTTAGTCACCTTTCATTAAATTCAGAACCATAATATTTTTATAGAATTAAAATAAGAACTAATACCACATACTGTAAGATGGTCAATTAATGGTCAAAATAAGAACTAATACAACATACTGTAAGATGGTCAATTCAGGCCTTATATTTTTTATACTTCAGAATTAGTTAAATTTAAAATGCTTATCTCAACTTCTGAGGGTGATTATTATTTTAAGCAAAATTTTCAAAATAAAAAAATTAAAATGGGATTAATGCATAAAATATTATGCATTAGAAACTTAGAGAGTTAAGTCAGATGGCATTAACTCGGTAGATTCCTAAATACCCGCTTTGACTACAACAAGGAATAAATTATGAATACGAAATAATAACCATTAACTGGGATTAAGCAGACTATCAATTCTATGTGAGAACACCAGATTTTGGTATAATTGAATGTTAGTCGTACATACCAACATACAGGCCATGACACCCTAAGCTAATGGATAGAACGTTCTAAAAATTAACAATAAAAAAACTAAAATATTTTAGTAAGAACAACACATCTTATTAAATATTAACATATTTTTATATGTTTTTTAAGCTATAATTAAAAGTCTGTTTTTGTCAAAACTCTGTTAATTTTGAATTATGGACCTGTGTGTTAACATACAAGGTCGACGATATTCGAATTTTTTTATTCATAAACAATCATTGTGTTTGTTGTGCAATTATTTAGAATAGTACTGGTTTGGCACCAAACGACTTCTTTTTGTTTCCACACAATAAAGACAAACGACGTGGTCACGTTCTTCATCGATAGAAGAACCCGTTAATGCGTTTATAAACGTTTAAATATTTTCCTTTTCAATACATATATTTGAATTCAGAGCTGGTTGAGAGGAGCAGCACAAGAAAACAAGAAGCAACAATGCAAAAGGAAAAATGACGTGCCAAAGAATGGCATAAATTTGCAACAATAATTATGTTGTCTTGTGTGTTTTAAAAGTCTATTTGTACAAAATTCACTTAGAGTATATGGATATTGCAAAATAGTAAACCTTCATTGGTAAATGAATTATTGAAAATTGAAATTTGTAAGGTAATTATTATTTGCAATATAACCATATTTGTGAAGAGTATATAATTATAAAATTCAGTGTTCTTTTAAATGAGATTATTATTATTAGCTGTTCTTCATCTGCATCAGGGACCTGTTACATATAATCTCCAACTACTTCTATCTCTAGCAATATAATGTAATTCTTTTAAATATTTGCCAGTTTCATTTGTTATTGTTCTTCTCCAGGTGTAACGTGATCTTCTTCTGTGACTATAGCTTTGGCGGTTCCATCGCAGTGTCCAACGTAGCGTGACATATTTCATCGTTCGGCTTTCGAATAGTGTGGCCAAGCCAATTATATTTCTGGATTAATAGTAGATATCTTCTTTATTTGTTCATTGAAGTAGTTTCATATTTCTTATTTGAAATTCTACATGGCCAACAAATTCTCAAAATTTTATGTAAGCATCTGTTGGTAAAGTTTTCTTTGCATTTCCCTGTTTTACCAATCAAATTTCTGATTCATACAAAATGACGGATTTTACACAGGCATTGTAAATATAGATAACTGAACGCTATTCAGGTTCACAGGTTTGTTTTTGTATTCAGATTAAATGAGAACATTTTCAATATTTGATTTTATCCTTTCATAATAGAAATTTTGTCATTATGAATAGTGAAAGTACAATGAAGTGAAAATATATACATAATGTTGATTAGATTTATATGGTAAATATAAGAAATATATATAATAGCAAAAATACATATTCTCCAGAAATGAGCATGAATCGAATTCTTTTTAAAATATTTAACAAATTATTAAGAGTGAATATCATATATGTAATCTTCTAATAATAAGATTACTGATTCTCTACTTTCTTTGGACCTTTGTTTTAAAAAGTATTATATTACACTACATAATTTGAATTTAATTTTAGTAAGAAATACACACTTTAGTTTTAAAAAGTAACTCTATAACTAAAAGGAAACAATATCTTTTGTGATTCAGAATATAACTACAAGGTTTTCAGTGTTGAAATTCCTTCTTACGTTTCTTCAAAAAAGACTAAAATTAAATTCTAGTTTTCCTCTAATACTGAGATTTATTTAATTTGGCAATAGCATAACTACTTGCACTAATATTAAATAAAAAGCGATACATAGCAAGTATATAGTATATGTATAACAGTTTTCTATAAGAAATAGTCTTTTTTTTTTTATTTAACAATATGTCTTTATTGAATCGCTTTAAGTTAAAGCGAAGACTAATACTTGAAGACTAATAACATTACATTACAAATTATTTTATTTAAACATACTGTAATGAAATATAAAATGATTCGTAAATTTTTTTAAGGGGCCTCTGAATAAGTAACCACGGGATATTTACCAGATATCACGGCGTATAAGTTGAATTAATCTGAATGATTTTTAGCAAAGCAGAATGGGGGGTCAATCAGTCTAGAGGTAGTTGTCATATTAGCAAGAGGTCTAGCCAGCGGATTCACAAGGTTTTCAAGATTTGAAATATGTTTCTGCCTTATTCTCTCGAACTTTAACCATCGGAACTCTCAACTCGAAATGTATGTTTTCATTTCTGATATACCAGGGTGCAGAAATAGTCTTAAATTTAAAAAATAACAACAGTATTTATAAAGCTGTGTTTTCTACGCTTGATAAAAAAAACTAGTCCACAGCCAGTCCATTGCGGTTGAAAAAACAAGAGCGTAACTACTTTTCTCGTGGTAACTTGGATTAACTACAAGAGTGTTTCACTATCAAATTTTCAATTAAAAGACAGCGACTAAGAGAGTGAAACATCGGTAGTCTAGTAAGTAATCAAGCGTTTTAAATTTATCAGGGTTCAGGGTCACCTTCATCACTCACTTAATACCAGTTATTACTTAATTTCTGTTTAAACAGATTCTTTGTTGTCTGATATATAATAGTTTTAATAATGAGTATTATCATATCAATAATCGTCATAAAGCCATAAGGATTTAATAAAAATGTATACATCTTATAATTAAAATAATTAATATCAATCAATAATTACCATAACTAACTTTAGTTGGAATGGTTAATTATATTTTTCAAACACTTCATGAATTGTAGGCGTATAAATCACTTTAAGATAATAAAAACAATCATTCAATGCAGTTTTAATGAAAATTGTCTATTAAAAAAGATATAAAATTTATTTTACGAGATTTGATTTGATTTGACTTCAGGCGTTTAACGAACTTGCAATACTGACGCAAGTGGCATATTGAAAAATTGTTTGGAATATATTTCAGATTTAATGACGAAAAAAAATTTATTTTTAAAAACTCAAATTTTCAATACAGAATTTATATATCATCGATTTAGTTAATATAAGGTTGGGAGGGATCGGTCGGCAGATATGTTGATTTGAATAATTGAGATATGTGCGTGTGAATTTCTGAAATTTCTTAATTCAGTTCATGTTCAAGTAATGAAGATTGTAAGATTGTGCAATTGTTGATTTGTTCGGATTGTTCGGGTATCAATATTCCAATCTGTATATTTATACACGAGTATATGTGTACCTGATTGATCAGAATTAATATATGTTCGCAATTTATCTTATAAATTATAAGCAATGGTGTACACCACTGGGTATATTTATTGTTGGATTCCTTTGTGTCGGATTTCCGTTTCTAGCTTTTCTAATCATCTTGAAGACATTCGTGTGGAAACAGTGCGCATTAATTTCTTTTAGTTTTATTTTGATTTCGATTTTACGACTTAACCCACAAAATCAAACAGATTAGTGATGTGTTCCTTCACTTTTATTGGTTCGTTTATTTCAGATGCTCTTGTTTAGTTTTATAGCTCAAGCAAATATTAGTTCTAGTTTATTGCTTATTATTACTTTTTTATGAGTCTATTTTGGGTGGTCACAAAAAATAAAATTTACTCAAAGTTATGTGAACTATTTTTTATCCACATGCATAACATATATAATATATATATGGCCGCGGTTCAAAGTAAGCAGAAAAGTTCTAAACACATTGCAAAAATATTCATTTTAATAAAACGACAGATTTTGTATTTTTGGATAGCTATAGTTCCATTCAATACCATTCAATCTAAAACAAAACAGCACAAAACTTTACGTATTAGGGCAAGTAGACTTATTTGTAGACATTTTATGTTT